AAACTTCAGGCCAACTGACTTCAGCCTTCTTTCTAATACTGTACTCTGTCCCAAGTCAGAAATTTAAGATGACTGCAGAGAATTTAAATAGGTTTGAAAACTGAGCTTGACTTCAAATCAGTGTTAGGTTTACTGAGAAATGGGCATTTTGTAAAAGATATTATAAATTTGTGGTTCTCTCCTACTGCGTTTTCGTTCTTGTTAAACTCATTTTGAATAGACAGCGCTGACCTTTTAACTCCGATAATATCAGTGTCCCTGTACGCTGGGAGGTCTGTGCCAGACATTATGGTCCCGGTAATAAAATGTTCTGCACATGAACAAAAAGGCAAGTGTTACAAATAGGAAATTAGCACCACCTTTCCTTTGTCTAGTTGCTTTAATATTTCTGTTAACACTAAACCAATACGTAGAACACCTTCCTGAGATGAAAAGGGGAACAAATTTTAATGACATTACTAAGGGTTAGATATAAAATTCAGATCTTTGTAAGGACAATAAATATTTCTAATTAGTAATTGTTTTTCCTTTCTTACTATGCTTTTAAAAGAACTCTGTATTTCAGAATGGGGATTAATCTTGTAAAACAATTTAAAATAATTTTTTGTCTTGAATCATAGAAAAACCAAACCATGCACCTGCTTACTTCTTTTTTTCATGAAAAGGTTTTAAAAAAAAACTATTAGTCTTTCTCCCAGACCATTCTTCTGGGGTGGCCCTGCAGGTCCCCTTGCAGAAAGAAGGCAGGTGCGTGCTGGCTGAATGGTGACATTCACTGTGGCTGTGCGTGAGTGGGGGACTGGGGAATGAGTCACACCTTGGGAACCTTAAGGTTTTGGCTGATTGTGTTGTGGAAAACTAATAATATGCAGTAAAATGTACAAATATCTCAATTACAACAGTTTGGGGCATTTATAAATGGGTAACAACTTCTCGACCAAATGAAAATGTCTGTTAAATTGCATAAAGTTCTTCATCATGCTTATTTTCTGAATTAAGTGAAATTCCAGTCGAGATTTGTGATGGACTAATGAAGAGATCAGGTTTCCTCCCAATGACTGGTTGTAGGTTAAGTATCCTAACAACAAAAGGAGGCAGGAAAAACTAAGGATCTCTAATAATTTTATTCTGTCAGGCTTTCTTTTGAAATGTGTACAATCAATCCATTTTGTTTTGTTGCCAGGGTTTTTTTTTATCCTCGTTTATTATATTTTGAATAGTGCTGGCATCCACAACAGGTTATTTTTCAGGGCACAAATAAGGCAGACCAAGTTTATTACCTGTAAATGATGCAGATTTGCATGAGTCTCTTGGCCCTGTTACCACCAGCATAGTTTTCTGTTGTTCGTATTCCTGCTTCATCCTTCTGGAACATTCCTAAAGGTTGTAACAGTGTTACAACTTCCTTGGTGTCTTCTGGACCTAATTCTAAGTCCGTGAGAAATGTCATGTAGCAGGTGCTGTTTTCAAGGTTATCTTGATGTCCTGTTCATATTGAGTGAAAAAATTACTGGTTGCCAGTGAGAGGTATTGGCAATTTTTCTTCGGAAAGGTGCAAGCTGAAATGTTGTCTGGTATTGGAAACAGTAATATTTAGCTTGATTTTACAGACGTACTGTATATTTTATTTTTTAAGGTAATGTGCTGCTGGTTATTAGAAACACTCGAGTGGTGTTGGCAAGTCCCTTCAGATGTCAGTTATGAGATTAATGGGTATGGTGACAGTGATGCTCAGGAGAGGAAAACCGCTTTGTTGCCAAAAGAGCAAAAGCCACGTCTGCTGACCCTGTTGCCGATGACTTATCAAACCAGCTTTTTCCCAAAGTTAGGCAAAACCAAACATCTAAAAATGAGGGATTGCGATTGCAAGAGAGCTCAGCTCACAGAGCTATACTGAAGCAGGCAGGCTCTCTGGAGTATCCCAGGAATCCCTAAAACCCCCTTCCATGCTGCCATCGGAGACTCGCTGTGCACAGCAGTGCTTCTCCAAAGGGCTTCTCCTCCTGGCTGTATGGACGGGTGCACCATGAAGGTGTCCTGCTGCTCTGGCAGCATGCTCAGAGGAGGTCATTTCCTGCCACACTCCTAACAAAAATAAAGCATTCATGGAACTGAGGGTGGTAAAGTATTGAGCATCTAAGCATGCTGGATGTGCCCAGAGGTTGCAGACGGTCCCTCAGTAACCAAAATTCAGAGATGTCACAAGTGGCTGAACAAACAAATATCACCAGTTAATGGTTAAGCTCTCAATTTACTAAAGCGTTTGTTACCAGTTTGCCAAAGAGATCAAACAACCGTGAATCATAACCTTGGCTATTAATTAAATCCTTTATTCCCTTCCCTCATTGCAGAAGTGTTTAATCTTAGAGAATCAGGCAAGCCTGTTGTGCAGAATTAGATTTTACAGCATATGTAGAAACAAGCTTACTGTAAGGTTTCTTACTGGAGCTGGAAATGGGAAGGATTAAAATGAGAATATTAACTTTCCTTTCTGGCATGGAAGTTCATGTCAGCACTGAAAGATGATTGATGTGGAATAGCTGCATTGGAAAATCATTTTGGTGGTGTAGTTTTGTTATTTTACTGAATGGCAAATATCGTTTTTATTATCCTGCTGCCTTTCCTATAGATGAGACTTGTCCTCTAGATAGAGAATGAGGGATTTGGTGTGCTTTACTAGTGACCAGCTGTCACGAAGAAAAATATTTTACTCAGAAATAATGAACTGTGAAGAACACCCCAGAGGAAATGAGGCATAAACCAAAATACTACAAGCAGTTTTATTGCCATTCAAATATATTTCTATTTGTCAAAAGATGTTTTTATGTGCTTTTATTTGTAGGATGTATAGCTGCATGATATCACACCTTTGATATTTACTAGCAAGTTAAGCAGCATTTACCTTTTTGGCTCCCGTCTCCACAAAGCAGAACAGAAAACCCCAAACACTTTATTTGCCTTGGCTTTTGGGGAAGTTGTCTTTGTCCCCAGCAGCAGAATGATGCAGCACGGGGGTACTGTGAACTAGCATTAGGCTAACTGTCCGCTGGGCATTGATCCAAGCACGTAGCCATCCCAGTCAGAAGTAGCAGATTTCCATTTTTATGACTCGAACCATGGTGTTGCAGCAAGATCTGTGGGAGCAGGGACCTGGAGACAGCGTCTCTAAGACATCTCAGTAAGGTGTTAAGAGAGAAGGGCCTCCCTGTGCAGATCCAGCTGCAGATTTGGTGCATAATTACTGAGGTACAGTCAATTTATGTAAATATATTTAGAGGACTAGTGAGCTGCAGACCTGTGGTAAAAAGTTGTGTGTTATCAGCTTGAAAAGCAATGTATTTTATCCTATATCTGCAAAAAGCAATCTTTTCTGCCATTGCTAAACCTGAACCATTTCTATAACAGAAAGAACGCACTGGAGAGACAATAGCTACAAGTAGAAAATGATGGCTTTTTTTGCTTCTGTTTTTGGCTTTGCAGAAAGCTGTTTTCCTACTAAAAGGTGGGAGTTTTCAGAAAGGGAACACCCCAGCTACTCCTATTCAGAGGACAGACATCCACCATTTGTACATACACCACTTTAATTTGCTGGGGGAGATTTGTCGTGAGGAAACAGCTGAATACTCACTAAAATTCCAGCTTATATTTAGCGGAGGAGGCTTGGTTGATACCAGGCTATATCATGCCAAAGACCCAAACTTGTATGAACTTGTACAGAACTTAATTAGGACTTGTCAGTTATGAGATTAATGGGTATGGTGACAATGATGCTCAAAGCCTGATGAACGATCAGGAGAGGAAAACAGCTTTGTTGCCAAAAGAGCAAAAGCCACGTCTGCTGACCCTCTTGCTAATGCACTTATCAAACCAGCTTTCTCCCTCTCTCTTTAGTGAGTATGAATGCTGTCAGGCTCAATACAGACAGAAAGCACTGCAAAATGACATCTCAATATGCTGGTCTATCAGTATTACTACTAATAATTTTATAAAGATAAAATGTCTGGAATATCTAACTCTGCTTTTTATGCTACTCCCTAAAGCCACCACTGAAAGTGTGTTTGAGATGAGAGTTAGAAATGCTAGATGTTCATGCACTTAAAAAGGGAATAAGGATTGTGCTGTGATGTCATTGAAGCGCATCTTGATAAGAGTAATAAAATGAGCAAGTTGAATAATGGCCACAGGTCAAATGTTTGATTTGATATTTTAATGTTAAGGAAAATGCATCATTTTTTCAAGCTTTGAAAAATTTGGAATATCTGTTGGTCTTAATGCTCTGTTTGAAAAATAATGTCAGATACTGTGGAAATCAGTTATTTCAAAGTACAAAGGGCAAATTATTATTTTTTCATTCTGCTTTCAGTTCATATGCAAATACATTTGTGTTTTTAAAAATCTTTCAGATTATTTTGTCTTTATATATACTTAAAGTTTAGTTTGGGAATGCATGTGTAAGTAGATGTTGCATCCAGCTACCACAAGATCATTTGGATTCCTTAGGGAGTCAACATCTCAAAAATCTTTGAAGTGTTTTTTAAAAATAATTCTTTGAAAAACAAAGAATTCTTGTAATTGAAGAAACATTGTATGGGAACTGGGGGAGAACGCCACAGAAATAAACAAACCTCAAAACTAAAAGCTGGATTTCTGGAGTGACTGTGTATAAAAACTTTTCATGGCTGAATATGCAGAAACTTGAGAGTTTGGGCTTATTTTGTGAAAATGAGACTGGGAGATGTGGATAGAGGTTATGTGGACACCTCTTTTACCTGTGAAATGTATGCAAACCCAGCATAGGTCAGATAAAACCCTGGATTTTTATAGCCCTCTTGAAAGGTGAGGAAGGTTAATATAATGGTGTGTTGTACTCCCAGGCTGTGATCACAACTACTTCCATTACACATTCACGTGTTAGCGAAGCATTTACTGCAGACTGCTGTATTTACTGTCTGGGTGGAGATGCTCTTTCACCCCACTCACCTGCCTCGTTTTTCCCACAGGCTGCGGGAACACCATCGTGCTGCAATTAAGGTGATTCGTAGGATGCAGTACTTTGTGGCAAAGAAAAAGTTTCAGGTGAGTTGTGAATAAAAAGCTCCTTTTCTAAATAAACCCTTTTATTCTCCTGATTCATTGTTTCTTTTAGAAACTTAAGAGAGACTAACACAATTCATTTCAGTAATGGTGAGCTACACCCACTATTCTCTCCCTCCTTCAATAGGGTGGTTGTTTCGCAGCAGGTTAGTCAACTGTGGATGCACTGGAAATAGGCTAAACTCCTGAAATGCAGTCTGAATTAAAATGTTATTTTCTGCTAATGGACTTGACCCTTAACCCTCTGTTATCGCTGTCTCTTTCTCGCAGTGCAAACATTCTCGTATGTCTCCATTAATTCTGAGCTGTATGCTGCTGTCATGCCGAGTCAGTAGGATTAGAGATTAAAATACTACCTCAGCCTTGTTTCTGTTCCTTACTCAGTGATAATGAAGTCCTGATAAGAAACCAGGGTGGACATTTGTTAGTGTATCTGAAAGTTTCTCTTTTCTTTTCCCCTCTCCCTCTGCCATGGGTAGGAGACCTCCTTCCCAGTTTATGAGATAGTGGTTCTCTTTACTCCCCTGACTCTCACTGACGTACACTTCCTGTGAGCCACTTCACTTGCTGTGGTCTTGCATCGCCATAAGCATTTAACAGTGGCCAATTAAACTTGTTACCTGGTCTGAATAAAATATTATGACTGCAAACTTTCTGAAAATCAATTTTGGTTAATCCGGTAAAAACACATGTTAACAGCCTTCAGCTTGATTTAAACCAGGTGAATATATATATATATATATATATATATATATATAAAACTTACTTAAAATTAATGAATAAGAGACAATCTCTGGAGAACAGGCTTCACAACTGAAAATGCAAAGGAAGAGAGGGTCTTAAAGGCCCACATCCATTCTCATATATGACCTCTCCACTACTGCTTACAATAGACCAAAAAGCTTTCCCACCCTTAATCTAGACCCTCCAAAAAAGGGAGGGTGTCCTTTCTCCTTCAAATAATAAAGGCACAAAATTTAGGATCCAGAAGGTGATGATGATGACGATGATGATAACAGTCCAATATCTCTGTAAGACAGTGTTAGCTGCTATTTCAAACCCATGATTCTGACTTCATCATTGAAATTTAGAAGCAATGCCTGAATACTTTAGCAATTTTCTGCTTTGAATACTTTCATTTTTATGAAAATTCGTGATCTGATTTATGGCTAAGCTTGCCTAAGCTTTTTAGAAAATTTTTTCAGTTATGTATAATGTATTCAGACCATCACCATTTAGGCTGAAATCACCCATGTCCAGGCTTTTCTTGAGGAGACCACTTTTAGAAACTTTCTGCTATCACATTTCACCTGTTTTTATTATTAGACTAAGGGTAAGTAAGGCATAATGTCCAGACTACTTGAAAATAATATTTATAGTCATTTTGTTTAGAAGTTTCTTAGCACTTGCTGGCCAGCACTTGTAACTTGGCAAGGGATGTGGCCCATTCCAGTGATGTGTCTACTGCTGTTGTATGAAAAATTGCCTAAATATGACCTGTACCATTTAACTTTAATTTATTCACTTGATTTTGATCCTTTGCACTGTGGTAATTACTAGATCAGTGCTCTCATAAATTTAGATCATAAAATATTTGCCACGGTATTAACTAAACTGCTTAGAAACAAAAAATCTACATATTGTATATCTACCTCCCAAGTGGTGTTTGTCAGAAACAGATTTTGAAAATGCCTGAACACTGTGTGCAACATTATCCACCTGGCAAATAAATGAAACTCCCCTGCGGCAGATGATTTGATAGAAGCTGAAAAAGCATTTGACTGAATAGAATGGGACCATTCAGTTCATACTTAAAACTTGTTTGTGCTCAGTATCTCGGTTGCTAATCTGGCTTCTCAGTTGTACTCTCACTTTTGGATCTGCAAAAGACCTGGTCCTGGCCATCCACAAAATCCCTCAACAAGGTTGTCTCTCATCCTCTTTTAGCAGTCTTTCCTCTTCCTAAACGATCAATATTAGCTGTTACTAAAGAACTAAAAATGTCAGCTTGGCTGAAGCAGGATGTGTCTCAAATCACTCCTGTGTGCAAATGATATGCTGCTGCTTCTGTCAGAAACAGAATCTCCCAATAGGAACGTAGGGAGGTATCTAATACTTCTCCATAATTTCTGAATACAAGGTTATGACCGAGTTTAAAAATTTGGAGAGCACCAAAGATACAGTTTTCCAAAGCACTTAAGTATCTTAATGCACAAAGTCACCTTGAAATTCAAGCCACAAGGCGCTTTTGAAAATCTCTCCAGTAATTAAAGAGATAACCACTGCCATTATTCTTTCATCAAAAGTATGTCGTAAATCTGCTTTGTTCTATTGTATGCACATAAAATAATCATAAGAAATTAAAATGTTTAAACACGTGCCAAGTAGTGACTGTACTGTTTCTAATAACCAGGCCAATGTAATATCTGAAATTAAGGTAAAGCAGAAGATGCATTTTAAAAATGTATCTTTCAGCATGTAAGGTACCTGTGTAGCTGTTTTCTGGGAGATCCTTGCTTTCTAAGCATTGTGTTTATGTGAAATATATGTTAAAAATTCAGATATTTTGCTCCTATAACTGTTGAAAAAAACCAACAAACCCACAACTAAATTTCATCTGAAGTCCATTGGACTATTCATGCTTAAAATTAGCTGGAACATTAAGCAAGGCCAGCACTTTAAAGGAGTACTTTTCAGAGATGCCTGTGAAACTTTTGAGAAGGGAAGCATAGGAAGAAGGAGAGGAAGAGGAAAATTTTGCAAAACAGGTCCCAGCATGAACCCAGCATGGTTCTTAAACTATACCGGCTGTTTGCAGGACACACCTGGATGCCTAAATTTGACTAGATACATTTTTTCAAAAGATAAGTTAATAGCAGGGGATGATGGCACCACAAGGACAAAAGCCAGCTAGAAAGCAAAGCCTTCCTGTTTAAAAAAAGAAAAAAATAATTAAAAAAAATAAATAAAGAAAGAAAAGCTAAACAGGGAAACCAAGAATTTCAAAGGACATGAAAAGCAAGTCTTTGTGAAGCATCACACTTGGGTATCATTTCCTCTTAAAAAAGCAGGAGAGAAATTTAGACTGTATTTCAAAGTCTGGTTTAAATATAGTTCTTATGATGATACCCATGTAAGAACCCAGTATACTATTATAAAGAATTAATACTTTTTTTGTGGATGTATTTATGTTCTTGTAAAACCTGTAGGCTGTTTCAAATTCTATACAAAAGGTCACATTCTACTAGTAGTCAGCATAAGTTCTGTGCATCAGTTAGGTGAATGGTTTATGATTAAGGAAGGAGTCTATAGATTACAGGGAAAGTAGACTTCGAAATTACTTGTTTTCTAGGCTTTTCTCACCCCACCTACCAAAAATGAATTTTGTGTATTTGTTATAAATCAGATGCATTAAACGCAGCCTAACCTTAGAACTGAATTTCAGAAAGAAAATCACCATACTCAGTTATTCCATTAGCTTGATTCATGAGTGAATAGCCTTTGTTTTCCAATTAGGAAAGTCTCTAAAAGTCTTAAAACTTATTCAAATGTATACAACTGTGATACCCATCACAGATCCAGAGACCAAGAATTTGTTCTGATTTCCCACTCTCATTTTGAAATTTTTTTTTTTTTTTTACTTTCTTTCCATGCAAATTCTTCCTGTTGAGTAAACTATTTTCCTTCTAAAATACATTTTTAACTTGTGGTGTGTCTTTCACCATGGCAAATATTCCATACATAGCATAAATTAAAAATACAGATTGCAGCTCTACTGATGACATAACTGTTGCCTGATTTGTTACAATTTCCCTGGAAAATCTTACATTTATAGCCTTGTAGTTCATCATCTTACATAATTAATTTGTCATGGTATGAATCATGAATTGTGTGTGAAATCTTTTCTAATCTCCATACTGGGCTGTACCAAACAATGTACTTCAGTGTCCTGTGCTTCACAGGATGTCCTACCTATTTTATTTGAATGTTACTTGGTTACATTTCTCAGATATTCCCCTTACCCAGATTCCCCTCTCCCTTTCTCAGGTATACCTCTGTGCCCATCCAGTTGCTAGGGAACAGCAACAACCAGTAGTGCACATTTGATATTTGGCATTGGCTTTTGTACCTTCTGCAAACTTTCATATATGATAGGGGAAATTTTAACTCATTTAAGAAGAGTTTTTCCATGAGTGTTGGTTAATTAGTAGAGGAACAAAAGTAAAGAAGAGAAGAGGTTAAGGAAAGCTGTGGGGCTGCCTTCTGATTTAGTGTCTTCAATACTCATTCATTGCCTGCTGCAGGTTTTTTTCCTTTTAAAAAATTAACATATGGTCAACATCAGGAGTATTTTATCATAGAAGATCAGCTTTCAATATGAAGTAATTACAGAAAAATCAGTAGTGACTATTAAATACCCTATCATACTCAGAAATTAAGCTTTTTTCATAAATTCTACTGACTCCAGGTTTTCAATTCACATTTAAAAGAGAAAGAAACATCCCTGTAAATGATAAACAGGCAGAGAGAAACCTACTGTGTCTAGTGTCAGGCTCCTGTGTGAGAGTATGAGGATGACAAGAGAAAACTCTGCCACTTTATTCTTACTGAACTAACAGCTTTTCTTAACCTGGAGTTCTCAAGCTCATCTTTCAGATTTCTCTCTTCCCTATTTATAGTACAAAAGTAATCCAGAACTCTTTTTTTTTCTTTTTTTTCTTTCTTTTTTTTTTTTTTTAAATATCATCATGTTTATGGTGCTAGTCCAGGGAAAGATTTACAGGCTTATGCCATCGTTGAACCATATTTCTCTTTTTGTGGATGTTAGTTATGATTTATATGTGTGTAAGCAGTGGGGATTCTTGGGAATTGAAGCAATTCCCATTCCTGTTTAGCCTTCCACTAGTGAGTATATCACGTTCATGCAAGGTTTGCAGGAATCTGGCTGTCTGAAATGTAATTTTTCTGATGAAGTGATGTTATTAAAGTAATGATTCCTGAAATGTGGGAGATAACTCCCAGGCAGGTGCAGGGAACTGCATGAAGGTACCACAGCCTGTTTTTTATATTGTATCCTGCTTTCCTTTGGCTTAGAAAAGAAGAATTGAGGAAAACCTGCAGTGTGTGAAGTAACCTAAAGCAGTGCAGAGATATCTGCTTTTGAGGTACAGATGACAAAACAGTTCTGAGACCTCAAATGGCATCCAGATTCTGGTATCTCAGAAGCTACTACTGTAAACTCTTTTCCTTGTTCTAAAAAGAGTAAGAAAGGGGAGTTGTAAATCAGTGTTACCAAGGTTTTCACTGAACTTTGATATTAGCTACAGAATAGTTTGAGTTGGGAGGGATGTTTAAAGGTCACCTAATGCAAACCCCCTGGCATGAGCAAGGACATCTTCAACCAATCAGGTTGCTCAGGGCGCCTTCCAACCTGACCTTGAACATTTCCAGGGTTAGGGCATCCACAGTTTCTCTGGGCAGCCTGTTTCAGTGTCTCACCACCCTCAAAGTAAAGAATTTTGTCCTAATAGCTAATCTAAACCTGCACTCTTTCACCTTGAAGCCATTCCCTCTTATCCTGTCCCTACAGGCCCTTGTGAAAACTCTGTCCCCCCTTCTTTCTTAAAAGCCCCCCTCAAGTACTGAAAGGCCACAAGAGCGTCTCCCTGGAGACCTCTCTTCTCCAAGT